TGAGGCTGGGAAGGGTCTTGGGGAACCGGGGAGAGAAGGCCATGGGGTAAGGCCTAATATCCCATAGCCTAGGGAGATATCAAGGGCTGTGTATAAATGTTATGCTTGTGGGGGAGCTAGAACATAGAGCAGCTCAATGTCCTAACAGTGAGGAGCCCATGCAGTGCAACTTGGTGGAACAGCGAGAGACTGTGCTTAATCAATCCTACAGGAATGGCTTTAACTCCACATAGGTATGTGGCCGTTCAGGTTGAATGGTACAGAGACCATTGCTTTAATAGACTCCGGAAGTGAAGTCACACGGGTCTCTGGGAAACTGGTGGGGTAAAACGAACTGTCTGAAATGCAGGGGAATAACCTGCATGCATGGGAAAGTTAATTATGAAATGGCCATTCCTGTACAAATAGAGGTTCGGGGAAGCACAAGGCTGGTGGCAGCTGTAATCTCTAAACTTCCATACCCTGTGCTCATAAGACAAGATTTCCCAGGGTTCGGAAATCTACTCCCAGTGAAAGGATTGGGGGAAAGTAATAACTCCACGTCTGATATCATGACTCCAGTAAATAGCCCACCTCCCATCTTCTGTGAATTAGCCCCAGACTTGTTTTCAAAGTCCCAGAAGACTACGCGAGAAAGATGGGCAGACTGAAGACTGGGGACCAAGATGTTGGCCCAGAATCAGAAGGTGGTGCTTCTGGTAAACAGTCTCATCCACCAGGCAGGGAGACAACTCAGTTACTGAACCTGAGGTTGAGGCCGGTTCCACAGAGACCAGCCCTCAGGGTAAAACTGAATTTGGACATTTCAGATGCTTGATCTCCTATATCAGAATAATAGAATAGTAGTAGTCTAGGTCAATGGGGTATGAGCAGAGGGGAAAACCAAAGGTCCAGGGCCTTACTTTGTGATTAAAAAAAGGACCTATTGTACAGAATACTATAACTACAGGAGCAAGAACTGAAACAGTTCCTAGTACTCCAAGGACACAGAAAGGCATTATTCGACATAGCCCATTGTCATTTGTTCGGGGAACATTTGGCAGTGAATGAAACACTAGATAGAATCCTTTGAAGGTTCTTTTGGCCAAGCATCTATATGGAGGTTTGACGCTATTCTGCTTCCTGCCCTGAATGCCAATTGCACAGCCCCAAACCTCAATTAAAGGCCCCTTCAGTGCCCCTACCAGTTATCTAAGTCCCGTTTAAAAGTACAGTGATGGCCCTGATAGACCTGCTGGAGAAATCAGCCCAAGGTCATCATTGTGCTGGACTTTGCTGCCTGGTATCCAGAAGCCATACCCCTGGGAAGCACAGTGTCCAAGATGATAGCTAATCCAAATATCCTCTCAGATAGGAGTACTCAAGGAGATTCTGACAGATAAAGGGACTCCTTTCATGGCAGAGTTGATGAAGGACTTGTGTGCGCTGCTTTACATGCTTCAGGTACTGCTTCCTACAAACCTTAGTCGACTACCACAAACGAATGGCCTGGTCAAATGCTTCAACAGAACACTGAAGAGCATGATACGGAAAATAGTGAGTTGAGATTGGAAAAATTGGGATACCTTGCTACCCTACTGGAAACTTGTTATAATGGAGGTTCCTCAACCTTCCATAGGGATTTCCCCCCTTCAAGTTGCCAAGTCGTTGCCACCCACGGCATATTGGATATTGCCAAGGAGCACTGGGAGGAACAGCCTCACTAAGAAACGAGCATCATTGAACATGTGACGCACATGCGGGACAGAATAACCCAAGTCACCCAAGTAGTGTGAGAACATATAGAAAAAGCACAAGCGGCCCAACAGGCCTGTTATAATCAACAAGCAAACATTCTGAAATTCCAGGCTTGGGATTGGGTAGCGGTGATGGGACCCCAGCAGAAAACAAGCCCTTGGTCAGATGGCAGAGGCCATATGCACGGGTTGATTGCAGAGGTTAATTATAAGATTTGACAACCCAATCTCTGAAAATAGGAACAGATCTACCACATTAACCTGTTAGAGCCCTAGCAAGACAGAGGCCATTAATGTGATGGAGTGAAACCATAATGTATTCCCAGAGAAGCCAGGCAAAACCATGGAAGCTCATCGTCCTAGATGCAGAAATAAATGAGAAAGTTAAACCATACCGGATCCTTGAGGCTAAAAGGAAAGAGATCAATACAGAAATGAAGGGGATGCTGGAGTTGGGAATCACTGAGCGTCCCATAGTCAATGGTCTAGCCTAACTGTTCTGGTTCCTAAACCAGATGGTACCAGTGGTTCTTCAGTGACTTTTGAAAATTAAATGACATGTCCCAGTTCAATGCCTACCCCATACCTCAGATAGATCAGCTAATTGACCAGGTGGGAAAAGCAAGATTCTTGTCTACCCTTGACCTGACCAAAAGGTATGGGCAAATCCCTCTGGCAGAGGTGGCCAAGGAGAAGAGGCCACCTTTTCTATGCCACAGGGCTTATAGCAGTACATTGTCCTCCATTTTGGATTACAAGGGGCTCCAGTAACCTTCCAGTGACTTACTGATAGCTATTATGACCACGTGCCAGGTATGCAGCTACTTACTTGGATGATGTGATCATACACAGCCAAGACTGGGGGATGCACGTAGAAAAAGTAGACACAGTACTGGATACTCTGAGGAAAGTGGGTCTCACTGCTAACCCCTCCAAATGTGCAATAGGGCTAATGGAAGCCAAATATCTCTGGTACATCATGAGGAGAGGTGTAGTGAAACCCCAGTTGAACAAGTTAGAGGCAATACAAAGTGGGCTTTGGGTGATCAAGAAGAAACAGGGCAGAGCATTTCTGGGGATAGTTGGGCATTACAGACAATTCATTCCCCACTTCACCACCGGGGCATACTCTTTAACAGATTTCATAAAGGCCAGCAATCCAGACGTGGTAAAATGGACCAGTGCAGCCAAAGAAGCTTCTGTGGATCTGAGAACAGCCCTCTGCAGCAGTCCAGTGCTAGTAGCCCCAGACTTCCAGAAGGAGTTTGTACTACAAACAGATGCCTCCAAAGTAGGGTTAGGAGCCATAGTTTCTCTCATGGTTGCAGAGGAAGACCACCCAGTTTTGTCTCAATAGAAGACTTCTCCCTAGAGAACAGAAATATACCATAGTGGAGAAGGAATGCCTCATGGTAAAATGGGCCATGGAAACCCTCCCGTATTATCTGCTTGGATGGAGGTTTTACGCATGTTACAGGCCATGCTCCCCTGAAATGAATGCACCAGAACAAAGAAAAATTGCAAGACTAACAAGATAGTTTCTGTCACTACAACCCTTCTGCTTCAAAGTGCAGCATAGGGCAGGAATCAGGCATGCAGCCCAACCCCATAGTATTGAGCTGGGGGGCATATGTGACAAAGTCAGACCTGACCACTCTCAGAGGGTGGTCCTTTTCCATAAAAAAGCATCATCAAAAAGAACCTGCGCCAGTTTTGTATTAAAAGGCCTATAGAAGTCTCTTAGAATCGCCTTTGTCGTTGGTAACATGGGTCCCAGATTTTGGTCTTTAGGATGTCTAGTGTTTGATGCAGGACTTTTTGTAAGTAGAGCTTCTTGTTTCTCACTTATAGGCCCTAAATTCAGAAACTGGAACACAATATGCACGGTGTATTTAACATTGTATGTATGATCCTCTAAGCGGAGAACTAGTATCTGACCCTTGTTGAAAACTGTCAGCCAGTCCAGGAGATACAAAACATAAAGGCCAACCTGTAGCCTCACAGGCATGGCAGGTTGAAGGCAGGTATATCAGCCTTAGAATGGTTAAAGTCCTCTTTCCTAGGAGCTGAAAAGGGGTTACTTTAGGTTAAGGGCTGTCAATGACCTTTAAAAACTTCTTCTGGGGAGTGAGAGGGGAGGGAGGATCAAGGAACAATACACAAACTGCAGAAGGGTTGGAGGCAGCAGAGAGAAAAAGTTTCTCCAAGGGGGAGAGCTGTTTTCTTCTCTATAGGGGAAATATTGAGTTTACTATTTTTGGAGATGTGCAGGTGACCAGGAGCTAGCACAATAAGCATCACTGCTCCGGTGGAAGCAAGGAAGAGTGAGAGTGAGTTTGTGGTGGTTTTGCTTAAGAGAACCACTGAGGCATATACCTTCTGAGAATTCTAAATAAACTACTGTTAAGAATTATCAACATCTGAGAGAAGGACTGATTTACTCCAGCCTTCGCCCCTCACCCACATGCCACAGGGAGAACCACTGAGGCTGATGTGGCAGTAGATATGCATTGGCACATAATGTGGTGAATCAGGCCCATGGCATCCAGCTCACACATACAAATTGTTTTAAAAACAGATACATCCAAATGTAGGACTTACTGCAGGAATGTTGTCCTTTCAGTTGATGTATGCGTTGCTAGTGATGAGAACACTGTTAAGAATAATACATGCCTCAGACAGTTGGTATTAAAAAGTAATACTATAAATCATAAGTAACTAGTATTGTGGTAGACAAACAAGCAGAAAGTTATAGTAGTAGGCCTTTCAAGATCAGGGGGCCTGCAAATTATGGAAAGAAAAGATTGGAAGAAACCTTTTGTTTCTCATTTTCCTCTTATTAAAAAACAAAAACAAAACCCCAACACAATCTGGTGGCTCAAAATGCAGAAATAAAGAATGCAGCTGAATACATAATGGTGCCCTGGTACCCTTTAGTAGATGGTGATTTTTTTTTATCCTTTTTGCTAGTTTAGTTATGCCCTGGTTTGGGGAATGCACCCCATCTCCATAGAGCCCAAATACTCAGAATGAATTTCACCCATTTTTGAGCACATACCCAGTTATTCTGATGGAAGTCAATTACTCATGTAAGTGCTTATCAATATGAATAAGGGTTCCACTATCAGGGCCTGTCTATACTGTGTGTGTGTGTGAGAGAGGTATTTTTTTATATATACTGTTACCATACCTATCTGAGGATTGTGGTGTTTATTATAAATTAACCTCATTCTCTCGCTCTTTTTTTCTTTCCAACTTTTACAGGAGGCTGAATTTCATTCATTAAGAGAAGCTCTCTCTTTTGTATCGTTAATTGATGGATATTATAGATTAACTGCAGACGCTCACCATTACCTCTGTAAAGAAGTAGCACCACCAACAGTGCTTGAAAATATCCAGAGCAACTGCCATGGACCAATTTCGTAAGTAGTGCTCTTATATTATGACAAGGCACTTTTATCGAGTCTTGAAAGATGAGCTTCAACGAGGGTGAAACATAAGCATACTTACTGGAATGTATATTTATAGAAAAAATAGGTTTTTGGTGGGTGGTTTTTTTCAAATTTTCCTTTGGCAAAACATGTGGGGGGGTGGTTTCCCTTTGACTCTTGCTGCTGGGGGAATTCTGCGCCACTGTGCAATGCAGATTTTTGCAGAAATTAATGTTTTTTGTGCAAAATTCCCCTTCCCCTGGCCCCTCCCACCCCAAAATTGGCTGCAGTGTTGCTGGCCGCTACTTGGGGCAGCTGGATCCAGCAGTGCCAAGCTCACACATAGAAGACACTGTGGGAGGGAGGGGAGAGGGTGTATTGGCTGCAGGGGGCCCCGTGGCTGGACTTGGGGGGAGAGGTTGTGGATGGCTGGTCCCCTGGCTGGGCTCTGGGGAGGGGATGCAGCGAAACAGGAACTCGGTTGTCATAGGGATTTCTTTTAACCCTCTACTCCTGGGGGAATTTTTGGGTGTGTCTCTATTGTGTTAGACATACTTGCTGACAATAAATTACCAAATAAATAAATAAATAAATTACCAAAATAAATGAAACAGACATGTTTATGTAGTGTTATTTTGACAAATAAAATTTTCCGAATTTTGCAGATATTTAAAATACTGCGTGTAGAATTTTTAATTTTTTGACACAGAATTCCCCCAGGAGTAGACTTTGTAAGGGAAGGTGCACTCCTTTTCTAATGAGGGGCGTCAAGTTTTGTAACACTGTTTCACTATATACTACCCCTCTATCTGCATATGAAACTCCTGTTGAGATTATTGGGAAAACCTGCAGAGTGAGAGTAGAATGATACCTTTTGTGATATGTTTCATGTTTGAAATTTTCTTTGTAAATCATAAGAATGAATACAGATGAACTTAAAGTATATTTCTTTCACTCAGAGTTCATTTTTATCTCCAACCCAGTCATGCAACAGACATAATGCTGAATTTAGGACCTTGTAGTCATTACCATGGCAACAGTGTATGATGTCATAAACGGAGGCTCTCATAATGTTTTTACTAAAAGATCTAGCAGAACTAGAATCTAAGTTGCAAGGGGAAAAAGGCAAATTCAGATACCCGTGTCTTCAATCATTGTGAGGGGAACACAGAAAATTGCTAGCTAATAAATTTAACAAATTGCTTTTTGTACAGCTGTCGTCTCTTAGTTCAGTTTCTCCAGTTCTTTAGAGAAACAGTTTGGTACCTTTATTGATTGTATTTCATACCGTACTGTTATTGTTTGAGCTCAGGATATGGGCAACCAGAATGTAAGTAAGCAGAATGTACTGCATTTAATTTTTTTCCCCATAGTTTAAACAAGAGAACCAATGTACTTGGTATACATATTTAAATCATAAAAAATTAGTCTGCCACCTAGTAAATCAGGCATATTTCTGTAAATTTGTCATTAACATGAGGGGAAGAGAGGGAGTGATCTACATCTTCCAAAAGACATGAGTGAAACCTGTCCTAATAAATTAAGCTCCTTCTGTTTACTTTTTGGGCATGGGGAGGGAAACTTGCAAATTTAAACAATAGAATCAGACGTTAAAGTTAGTTTTAGGACTGCATTGAATTATGTGCTAGGCTTAGACCTTCTCAAGCAATGCCATTCATAACTAAGGCTAATATTTTGTAACTGACAGGTCACGGAATAAAGAAAAATTCACGGAAGCCCGTGACCTATCCATGATGGTTACTAAAAATATGCGTGACAAAATGGGGAGCTGGAAGGCCCCCTCTTGGAGCTGTGGAGTCGCCCCACCCCACGTGGCTCCGAGCTCCAGGGCACCCCCATGGCCCGCAGCAGCTAGGAGCTCCCAGGGGCCTTGCTGCCCACAGCGGCCGGGAGCTGTGGGGCACCCCTGCCACCTGCTGTGGCTGGGAGCTCGGGGCCCCCACGGTTCTCAGCCGCCACAGGCACAAGTCACGGAGGTCTCTGGAAGTTACGGAATCTGTGACCTCTATGACAAAATCTTAGCCTTAGTCATAATCTCTCGAACAAGACATGGACAGTTAGATAATCCATAGCAAAGATGCTATATGGTTACTTTATTTCCTAGGAAAAATCAGTTTCCAGTGGTGGATGATTCAGTACTTTTTTTTTTAACCAGTTTTTCTTTCTCCTATGAGCAGCTTGCCCTTTTTTTTTTTTTTTGTGCAACCACTTTTATGTTATGTTTACAACGAGGATGGCGCAGGTTTATGCGATGCTGCCAGCATTGGAGGCTATCCTGGGCCACAGATCTGCGCATTCCTTAGCCACGGGGCCTGTGATTGCTGAGCCTTTCATTTCCCCTTTGTTATTTACTATCACTCCCGCGTTGTCCTCAAAATAGAGGAACACCCCATCTTTTCTCCGGTATGATTTCCGCTGCCGAATTACCACTGCTGGGTGCACCTTCTTCCTGAGCTCAGGCTTGCCCTTCTTGACAGTAGCCATGACCATGTCGCCTACACCAGCAGCTGGCAGCCTGTTCAGGCGCCCCTTAATCCCCTTCACAGAGATAATGCACAGGTTCTTGGCACCTGTGTTGTCTGCACAGTTAATCACAGCTCCCACGGGAAGACCGAGGGAAATACGGAATTTCGCACCGGACGAACCACCACGTCCTCGCTTGGACATCTTGTGGTTGATAGGCATGTTTCCTTATCTGCATATAATGCTGTTGCTAACAGAACAAAACCCTAGTGTTTTAAAAAGCAAGTGCCATAGCACATAGATAGATACAGTCCTTCTATTAGGTACCCAACACACTGTGGACATAATTAATGCTTTCTAATAATGGTGTCATTGCTCAAAATCTCTGCTGTTTTTGCTTTCTGAAATTGTACAGCCGTTAACATTTTTTCTTTTTATTATAGCATGGACTTTGCTACCAATAAGCTGAGGAAAGCAGGCAATCAGACTGGCTACTATGTTCTTCGTTGCAGTCCAAAAGATTTTAAGAAATACTTCCTCACCTTTGCCATAGAGGTCAGTGTACTGCACTGAGCAGTAACGGTAGCCTGTATTGCACTGAAGCAGAGAGCACTGCTTCTTTTTCTTTTTTTTTTTTCATTTACATACAGTAAATCGTTGAGTTTGTATCTTCTGTTACGTGAGCTATGTATTCTTCTATTCATTAATGTCATTGCTGTTCACAATGCTTTTTTATTTACATGCTATTTATTACTGTATAATTATCTGGTTTGTTTTGGTTTATATGAAAATATCTTTTTAAATCACAAAATTATCAGTACATTGGCCTCTTCTACCAAAATTTCAAAAATATAAAAAAAACAGTAGCTTCTCCTTTGGTGAGGTATACCAAAAAATAGCGTGTGAGCTTTCATACTGGCTTGCAGCAGTGAGTTAGCTACTGTAACACATATCTTCAAAACTGTGCCTGTTTCAACAGATGACACCACAACAGTGCTAGTGCGTAGATGGAAAAGTATCAACTACTGTGTTAGAAACATAGGAATCTTTGCCAAATCAGAGCAATAGAATCAGTGGAGAAAAAAATGTTTTGTAGAATTGTACTGCTCATTCACTCTGCATATTTAGACTTCGCTTTCAGAAAGGAAATCTGCATGTGAAAGAGAGTTTCTTTTAGCTGATCTGGTAAGATCGTCCACCATTCAGAGCAAGTTTGTATAATTTCTTGCATTGGTTTTTCTAAGCAAACAATTAGAGAGCTGCTGAGATTTGGTGGTCATTGGTATGTTTTCCACAGGGTTGTAAAGAAAGGGCAAGTGACAGCAGTATAGGAGTTTCTATAAATTAGAAATGGACAACTGGACCTTTTGAAAGTTTGTCTGAAAGAAACTTGTGTTGAGATTGTGTGCCAAGTTTCAGCTTGGAGTTCGAACTATGCTGTAGACAACAAAAATAGGAATCTAGCCTAGGTTTTTGTAAGGTGCCTGTCATAAGAACCATACCTGCATCAGTGCACAGCACTACAAAATACATTTCACCACTGCTAATAAGTTTTTCTGTTTGAGCACTCAAGATGTGAGACTTCTTGCAACATTACATTTCCACCTCATCTCTTTTGTTGCATGAGGTAGCTTATGTTAGTAGCAATGAAGGACTCACTTATAACTGGGTCGATTCATTCTGTTTGTTTTTAAATCTCTTGGTTGCAGTCCCGATAGCTAATGTCAAAATACTAATCAACACTTCCAGTGATAGAAATAGTCCCTTACTAGCGTTATCAGTGTCTTCTCATTTTACTAGATACTGGGATTAAAATATGAAATGACAGTAACATGTTGTTTGAGAATTTTTCTCTTTAATAAATTGAGTGTACATAAATTGTTTACATTTTTAAATTATATGTGTCAGTCTTTCCTTTTCTAATTAAAAATCTCTACAGCGGGATGGTGTCGCTCAGTATAAGCACTGCTTAATAACAAAAAATGAGACTGGAGAGTATAATCTTAGTGGAACGAAGAGAAGTTTTGGTAACCTTAAGGATCTGTTGAATTGCTATCAGACAGAAACAGTCCGTTCAGACAACATCATTTTCCAGTTTACCAAATGCTGCCCTCCAAAACCAAAAGGTAAAAAACTTGTAAACACAAACATGTATAATTATTTTCGGGTTAATTGATATTTTTGAAAGAGAAATTAGCAGATCAATATATTTGCCTGACAGACATTTTCATCTCCTTAGTCATTGAGATTTCAGTGTTAATGTCAGCTTGGGTTTGCCTTGGTTTGTAAGAAGTTACTCACAGTGCTGTGATCCCCTTCCACAAAGCATGACCATCCCAGCTTGCAGCTGTCCTGACTGAAAGTGAAACTGGCCTCTTAATGATTGAAAGGTCACATTTAACAGCATTTCTCATCTGATCAAGTGTTTAGCTACAGGTTTGTATCACGAAAGAGATGCTAAATTTGCCATTTCTTATTCTAAAATGCACATGATGTACCATGAAAAGTGGAATGTTTTCAGCAATGTAATGCTGTACTTGTCAAAAATAAGAGTGCTTCAGAAACTTTAATAATCAGGAGAGAAAGAAGAGAGAACCAGAATGTTATCTCTAGTCAGAAAGGTCCAGGTTTGACATTTGTTTGATTAAGTCCTGTAATACGGTGTTATTTATTAAACAGATTAATTAATTATTTAATTAAATTTATTAAACAGATTTATTAAACAGATTTATTTACTCTCCCTGCTATGGTATCCAGATTATCACAGGAGATTTACATCTTAAATTAATAATTCTGTTGAAACAACATAGTGATAAAAGTCTTTAACAGAGATGTTTTCTGGTTTTTGTTTGTTTTTTTTTCCTTCCATTCCCATCTTCTTCCCCTCCCCACCCAGATAAGTCAAATCTTCTAGTCTTCAGGAGCAATGGTATTTCTGATGTACCTACATCGCCCGCATTGCAGAGACACAATAATGTCAACCAAATGGTCTTTCACAAAATCCGGAATGAGGACTTGATATTTGTAAGTTCACTAGTTGCATCTCTCTGGCCATTTTCATGAACAGTTGCACACAGAGTTCTGAAAATCTAGTTCCTGTTTGTATGCCATTTAAAATAGCCTTAATTGCAGCAAGACATTTTGCTACAGTAGTTCTTTAGTTACAGTTTAAAAAAAAAGTCTTAAATTTGTGTGTCCCTTTCGTACAGGGGTGGGCAAACTTTTTGGCCTGAGGGCCGCATCTGGTTTCTGAAATTGTATGGAGGGCCGGTTAGGGGAGGCTGTGCCTCCTGAAACAGCCAGGCATGGCCCGGCCCAGCCCCCACCCCCTATCCAACCCACCCTGCTTCTTGCCCCTTGATGTCCCCCCGGCTATCCCTGCCACATCCACACTCTACCCCCTGCCCCTTGAAACCTCCCTTCTCCTTCCTGACTGCCCCCGGACACCCTGCCCCCTGCTGCCCCATCCAACCGCCCCTCTCCTTCCTGACTGCCCCCCTGGTTCCTCTGCTCCCATTCAACCCCCCGTTCCCTGCCCTCTGACAGCCCCGACCCCTATCTGACCCACCCGGCTTCTTGCCCCCTGATGGCCCCCTGGCAACCCCTGCCCCATCCATTTCCCCCACACACACACACACACACACTCTCTCTCCCCTGACTGCCCCCGGACACCCTGCCCCTAACTGCCACCCCATCCACCCCTCCCTCTCCTTCCTGACTGCCCCCCCCCCCCGGGACCCTGCCTCATCCACTGTTCCCTGCTCCCTGACTGCCCCCTGCCGCCCCATCCAACCCCTCCTCTCCTTCATGACTGCCCGCCCCGGGACCCCTGCTCCCATTCAACCCCCCGTTCCCCGCCCTCTGACAACCCCAACCCCTATCCACACCCCCAGCCCCTGACCACTCCCTGAACTCCCCTGCCCTCTATTCAACCCCCCTGCCCCCTTACCGCACTGCCTGGAGCACCGGTGGCTGGCGACGCAGCTGCACCAGGACAGGGAGCCGCGCCATGCAGCACAGAGCACTGGGTCAGGCTGGGCTCTGCAGCTCCGCTGCCCCAGGAGCTTGCAGAGCATTGAGCCAGCAGCGCAGTGAGCTCAGACTGCGGGGGAGGGGGAACAGCAGGGGAGGGGCTGGGGGCTAGCCTCCTGGGCCAGGAGCTCAGGGGCTGGGCAGGACGGTCCCGCGGGCTGTAGTTTGCCCACCTCTGCTTTAGTAATAAACAAAGTTTTTGTTTTTATAAATATGTCTTTCCTTTTTATTGCATCACCCGCTGTTTTCTCCACCCGCAGAGGCCCAAATTCTTTATACTCCCAGCATCCAGTTTCCTTCCCTATGGGTTCTTGCAACCACCTGTCCACAGAGATCCCCAAAGAGTCAAAGGGGGTGGGGGGAGAGACCTTCATCTAATCAAATACTTAGGTTAAACTCTTTCCAGTATTCCTTACTCCTGGTCATCGGACTCTTGAACTGATTGTAGTAGCTTTAAAGGTTTTCTACGTACATTATTTGTGGAGGACTTTAAGTGATCAGAATTGGCAGAGAAAGTTGTCTGACTGCTCCTTCCCTGTTACCCCTATCTTTTTTATTTTTTAGAATGAGAGCCTTGGGCAGGGCACCTTTACTAAAATTTTCAAAGGTGTAAGGAAAGAAGTGGGAGACTATGGCGAGCTCCATCAAACTGAAGTCCTCTTAAAAGTGCTGGATAAAGTGCACAGAAATTACTCTGAGGTTTGTCTGGTTCTTGGGTAATATGTTTATTGATTGTTGTCTGTAAACAGTTACTGTTCTTTGTTACCATGAGCAACTTAAGATGGTGTTATATGGTAGACGATTACAGTTCAGTTTTAATCCAGAGCCAGATTCTTTCCTGCACCAAGCATAATTTTGTGTAGGAGAAGCAAGTAGGCTGTTAGGAAGCCAGTTGAAGGCTCTCTTATTCTCTGCCTTGCATGGCTGCACCTCAGCCTGTGGCTTAGGAACTGCTGTAACTAACCTACACCATTTGACAGTGGTCCCCAAGGGACCACATCCGCATGTTGAGAAATCCCAGAATACAGCAGTGTTCCAGCTATGCCCACTTCTGCCCCTGGTACTCTACACTTTGGACCAGGGAAACTGGTGCAAGGGCCAGCTGTTATGGCTTCACACCTTCTGAGAGCTTAACTCCCTATGTCCCCCACTGGGAGAATTCTCAGCTGACCAAATATGGCCAGTGTTAAGGTCCTTTGCACCTCCTGGGCAGCAGAAAGGGACCAGATCCAGGGAGAGAATTTGGCTCCAGATTTCATTTTTGATCCAATACACTACATGCAAATGCAATGAAATACTCTAGTTCAAAATTTTTGAGCAGTTAACCACCTTCTATTTGTTGTTTTTGGCCATCTTTTTGTGGAGTTCAGATATCTGCCATCGGTTAAAAGAGATTCCCTATGAGCGCTGCTTGCTTTCTGTATGTATAAAGCATTCTTGTCCACCGATGTTTTTCCTATCACCAAGAAATTAGATTGCTGACTAAACCATGTGTGCACTGTGGATAAAACAGTTACTAAAAAAAGTCACTGCACAAGCCAATAAGATGGAATCAGTTATGCAATATCCTTGCAGTAAGTTAGGAATTAAAGCAATGTGAAAATGTGGGTGGTTTTAATATGTTTAATTCCAAATAATTTAACAGTTGATTTTTCTCCACTGATTATCATTCTCTCTGCCTTGCACTTGTAGTCTTTCTTTGAGGCAGCAAGCATGATGAGCCAGCTTTCTTACAAGCACTTGGTATTAAATTATGGAGTTTGTGTCTGTGGAGAGGAGAGTAAGTAAAATCAAATATATTTATATAATTTCAAGCAGTTCTCATTACAGTTTCTGTTCCTGATATTGTGTAAAAGTCTGCTGCAAAATTTATTTACATCCTAGTCGTACGGGGTGGCTCAGCAGGCATTCATGTGAAAGAGTGACAGTTACTCCTGGGGGAATTCTGTGCCACTGTGCATGCACAGAATTTATGCCCCTTCCCTTCCCTCCCCTCCCCCGTCAGATTTCTTTGCTTCCCTGCAGAAAAATGACTTTCTGACAGGGAAGCCACAAGAGCGGTCATGTGACCCTCCCAAGCAGTATGTTTTGGGTGCTCAGGGCAGCCAGCAGAGAGGTAAATCACTGTGGGGCAGGAGGTGGGACTGGGGAAGACTTGGCTGGTGGCTTCTACCCTGCGCTGTGCTCAGTTGCTAGTCCCAGCTGCGCTGGGGCTGGGAAGGATGGGGCTTCCTCTTCCCCTGCGTGGCATCTGGGGTGGGGTCAGACCCATGGCCAGATTTTTCCCCTGGCTGCAGGAAGTTCTGCAAGCTCCCCCTGCTTCCTGCACCCATCACTCCTCAGCTCCAGGGGGAAGGATCCCTGTAGAGGGAGCTGCTGCCCCATCCGCCTAACCCCTGTGCATCCAGACCTCCTCCTGCCGAGCCTCACCCCCCATGCACTCAGAACCCCCCGCCCCCAAATGAGCCCAACTCCCCCAGCATCTGAACCCCCCACTGAGGCCCCACACCCAGACCCCCCTGCGGAGCTCTATACCCCCCACACTCAGACCCCCCGCATGCTGAGACCCAACCAGCTTCATCTGTACCCCCTGCAGAGTCCCATTACTGTTGCATCCAGAACCCCCCAACAAGCCCCTGTGCATCCAGATCCACCCTGCACGTGGGTCCCCCACTGATCCGCCCGCACCCAGATTGCCCCTCATAGAACCCTCTCAACCCACATCTGGATCCCCCCATTAAGCCCCTCCACACTTGGATCCTACCTTGCTGAGCCTGCCTGCCCACATGGAGGGTCAGGGCCCTGGGTGTTTTTGGGGCAGGCCCAGTCCTTGCTGTGTCAGGGTTGGGTCAGCCTCACCGCTGGGTCCATGTCCTGGTGGGGAGCTGCACAGTGATCTCCCACCTCTGTGCAGCCAGTGGCCTGCGCTCCCTAATGCCATGCTGGAGTCTCCACATTTATTTGACAAATAAAATTTGCAGAATTTTAAAATATTGTGTACAGAATTTTTATTTTTTGGTGCAGAATTTTTAATTTTTTGTCACTCAGGAGTGACATCAGCAAGCATCATCGGAAATTTGCAAGGGTTGTGGGAATATGCAGTGTAACCTTTGTGAAGGATTTGCTAATACATCTGTAGAGACTGGCAAAGGCTTTTGAGAGCCAGCTTTTCAAAATCAGCTGACAAAATGGTTTCCACAATTTGTCCACCTGCATTTGCATGTCCATAGTGATCAGTGGTGAGCATAGGTGCCTTATTGTTCAAGCAAATTACCATTTGCCCTGCAAAAAGTCTTGACTGTTACCCTTTGCACATGACCAAATGCTGGTTTTGTGGGGACAAATACAATTTTGGAAGGAGTAGTTTAGGCAACCAGTTCTGAAAATGTGGCCCATTATTTCAGAAACTCTGCCCCTCTCCTTCCTTCCCTCCAGTAAAAAATCATCCTCGGAACTGTATATGGGTATGTAGCATGTCCTTAGTAACTTTTTTAAAGCAACTTCAGATTGTTGTTCTAGATTTTATTTATGTATTCCCCTCATATGCCAGGCTTTTATATCAGCTAATTCTCCTGTTTTTGTATGCGTATATTGTCTTAAGGTAGATTAGTGTTAGTAGATCCCTTATCTTGGGATCATTTTTTATCTTCCACTCCTTTTACTCAGACCATAGGCATAGAGGACAGGTTTTGCTAAATAAACTTTGGGTTTTTGTTTGTTTTTTTCATGTGGCTTTTCTAAGTTATTTTAGCTTCGTGTTGTTTTCTTTCTATGATTCCCATTTTTTAACAAAATAAAACATTTTATAATAACATAAGTGTCGGAATCCTTTTTTTGTTTGATCATGGGAGTAATGAAGAGCTCAACATTCTGCAAGATGTCTCCTGAATTCAGTTAAAGGGGATCTGCAATGATTTTGTAAGCAAAGTTGTTTAAGATCCTAAATCCTTCTTATCTGCATCATAAAATGTAAATGCCCATATATTTTCCTTGACTGCTCAAAAAAGCCTTATCCTTGTTTTGCAGCTTGGCTAGAGCTTTCGTGATGAGAGAAACAACATGAAATAAATAGTATAAATCAATGGTTCTCAACTTTTCCCATACTGGGACCCACTATCCCATTTAGCAATGTAGGAGGGCAGGACTCCGCAGGTTGAGAACAATAGCCGTTCTGTTTGTGTTTGATTCTCAAAGTTATTTTAACATCATTTTGTGGGGTGGAAAGGGATCGTTTTAAATTGTTGGATGTCAAGTAATTTTATTTTAATAATTACTAAAAATATTTAGTCCAGAGAAACAAGAAATGGTAGGCCAGCTCTTACTAATTGTTTCTCTTATTGCCAACTAAGGGATGTGACTCCCGCTTCTTAGTCGCATGGGGGGAGGAAGGAGGGGGAAATGTACCTTACTGACTACAATGATCAAGACCAAGAAAAATAATCACAATCACTTACTATGTTAGTTTTATTATTATAGAAAGGAAAACAAACATTAAACAAAACAATACAAATGACAGAATACAAGTGATAGACTAGTGGCTTCTCTTACAAACTCTTCTCCACAGATAGTCATACAGAGCTTTTAACAGAGATTAAATTCTTTAGAGTCAAACACCTTTGCGGGTGCTTTTCTCTTGATAAGTTAAGACCAAAGTATATTGTTTCCCCAAATTAGCCTCTTGTACAGGAATACATGGTCTAACCATCTGGTGATTAACAGGAGAAACAGTTAAGACAGGGTAGGTGAGGTAATATCTTGTATTGGATCAATAATAAAAGATATCAATCACCAACTTTGTGTTTCTAATATCCTGGGACCGACATGGCTACAACTACACTGCATAGGAGAAACAGTAATATAAGTTACACCAGCATTTTCATATCCCAATAAAATTATTACAAGAATTTAAAGCTAATCCCTTAGTCTTAGTTAACTTTCTCTCACCAAAAAGAAAAGGAGTACTTGTGGCACCTTAGAGACTAACAAATTTATCTGAACATAAGCTTTCGTGAGCTGAAGCAAGCTGTAGCCCACGAAAGCTTATGCTCAGATAAATTTGTTAGTCTCTAAGGTGCCACAAGTACTCCTTTTCTTTTTGCGAATACAGACTAACACGGCTGCTACTCTGAAACCTTTCTCTCGCCAGTCGATGTTGAAGGCTCGGGGAGGTATCCTTGGGTTGGTTTATTCTTGAGTCTTCTCTGTCTATGGCAGCTTGCTTGTGGAGTGCTATTTTGAGCAGGATAGCCGAGGGTATGTGTGAGAGAAAGGGTGCTCACTTCAGAGTTTTTATACCCTTCTCCTTCCAATTTTCATGACATTATAGGAAAACACTCCTCTTTCAGGCTTGTTTAGATTCAAAGTTGATTGCTGTTGCTCTTTGGTTGGCTTCATACCTTGGGGGTCGGCTTAGGTGACACCTTCAGCTTCTGAAGTGCAGCGTTTCTTTCTGCCTTTGTGCTTTTTGGGTCAGGAAAGATCTATTCCAGATAACTTTTAAAATTAGGTTTAACTCTTTTTATTCAGTCCATTTTCTGAGATTGTCTTTCAGTTTTGTTAGCGTTTGACAGGAAATTAAATTCTGTTCTTCAAATAGTCCATATACTCTTCTTTTAATAGAAAAGTTTTTAATTGTCAGAACAGTCTTCTTAAATTTAAATAACTCTTACAAAGTCTTGAACTTATATAATTAAAAATTGTTGCCTTTGGAAAGATTATTCTGGTCTTCTGCAGTTGGTTGAGGGTTTGCCACTGCCAGTAATTAATTCCTCAATAATATAAATATTCTGTACTTAAATGGCTTTTTACACTACTTTAGCAAGGTTATTAGATTCCATGTTAGTACATAAAGCTTTTTACCATTTACATAGCAATAACATTAGATGCTGTAGTTAGAGCTTTGCATTTATCTAACATATCTGTAAGAATACATTTCACAAAGATGTTTTGTTTATTTCTTAAATGTTGAAATGACAAAGTTTAAAACTTCTCCATATACACATGGTTTATCTCTAAAGTTCTTAAGAACAGGAGCAGGTTTTCTTGCAAGAGAGGGTAAGGATTGGTAGAGCCGACTTTACCTATTTGTATTGCTCTGATAACACACCCTACATCCCTTTTTACTATTATGCCTCTACTTAAAACATAAATGTTTTACATGATCTGTTTTCTTTAAGTGTGCTTGTCCTTGGAAAATAGAAGTAGAAACCTTCTGGGATTTCTGTGATTAGCTTTCATATTTTGTGACATAATTTTACATATGTATTGTTATACTTCCAAGCACCCTGGCTATAGCATTCTTGTAGCTGTATCTTAATATTCAGTAAATATTCTCCTTGATTTCCCAGTTCACTTGTGGTGGTGTTAGCATACATACTTTCAATGGTTGTATAATGTACTGTATCAGTAGGGAATTTTATCTTCAGATAACTTGTTTGTAAGTATAGTAATTCATCTTTAAACTCATAATTAGACTCTGTAGTCTATTTACCTCTAAAGACCTGGGAGATTTACTTATGTAACTTCCTTAGTCTACTGAGAGGAGGCCAGTCCCCTATGTTAGCAACAACTACATTTAGTTCAGATAAGTCTGCTACAGATCTGAGTAAAATTTATTTTGTATAGTTCTGAAAACACTGCATGTTCTTTAAAAGACTAAGTTGCAGGCCAGTTTTTGCGTTATAAAGCAGGAAGCACACTGTGATTACAATAGTTTTCATTGTGTTTGGAGTCCAAATGAGGAACATGAATACAATTGAAAGCAGAAGCTCAGGGTTATTTCACTTCACTTAAAATTATTTGTTTCTAAAAAACATAAACCACTGAAACAGTGGCAACCATGCAGCTGGCTTCCTGGGTCCTTGACTAGAAGACTATTTAGGCAAGTGTTGCCAGATTAATACAGGCAGGCTGTGGGGAAAGGGCCTCTTCTTATGGCTGTGCTACACAAGATAAGCTATTAGCACAGTTTGTTTTCAGAGGGGAACTTCTGTTGTTCCAACAAAGAATGTGTTTCAATAGCAGAACCAACAACACTTCTATTCAGCAGGATGAAACTTTAGATTTTAAAAAAGAAGAAGAAAGTTTGTAAACAGCTGCAAAGTGACTGAGTTGAAATGATTGTTTTATTAATGCAATAGGACATTGATACACTTATACATTATGATGCTAACTTGAAACCACATTACTTTTATTGTCACAAGGCGGCGGGGGTGTGTGTTAAAATTGGATCTGTTTCTTAGTACAGTGGAGTAGCATCTTATGTGGGGGTTAGGTTCTAAAGTCCGCGCATAAGGCGAAAATCGCGTATAGTCAAAATTACCCTTGAAAAATCCCTTAAATTGCCCATAAAGTACAGTATACTGTACATGGTTTTGTGTATACAACCCTGTACAGTAATATGCATAATATATACAGTATTGTACAGTATATAATAGAGTACATATGCAAAATATAATTTTATAGTGCTATATTTTTAATTACAGGGGGGAAATTACAGGGGGTCGTCAGGGCTTGATGTTGATCCAGGTGACGGAGAGTGAGTCGTAGATGAAGTGGTTGGCTCTGGTTCAGCTCGAGAAGTTGATTGCATAGGCTCATCAGCTGCTGGTTGTTTTTCCTTGAAAAACATGGTGATCAGCAACTGTCGCTGTTGTCTCTTGAGCTGCTCAAACATTTCTTGATACGGTCTCAAATCGTCCGTAATACTACATGTGATTTTGAGGCTTCGTTCCATAGAGGGATCGTATTCAGGTGTTTCGCTGCTTGGAACACTTCAGCAAATTTATGAAGATTCCATCTTGCTGGCTCTTCCTGTTCTTCGTCATCATCTTCGTCTCCTGTAGACAATTTTATCAGTTCCTCTCGCTCTTTGTTAGTCAATGTTTCTCTATGGTTCTCAATTAATTCTTCAGTTTCTTCCTCAAGAATGTCGACGAAGCCATCGCCACCTGCTTGCCTGGCCACCTGAACAATGCGTTTCACTTCTTTGTCAATGGTCGGGAAACCCTTAAAATCATTCACACATTCTTTCCATAGGTTTTGCCAACATGCATTGACTGTTTCAGGCTTGATTGCATCCATTGCCTGTTTAATACAAGTGATGCAATCGGCAATGTTGAAGGACTTCCAACAGTCCATCACATTAAGATTGGGATCAGCTTCCATAACGTTACGTCTCTGTGAGAACGTAAGCCTCGTGTACGTGGCCTTGAAACAGTGAATCACACCTTGGTCGAGAGGTTGGAGGATGGAGGGGTATTGGGGGGGAGAAAGATGACTTCAACGTCGTTATGCGCAAACTGGAGTGCCACAGGGTGGCCAGGAGCATTGTCTACAATCAGCAACACTTTAAAGTCAAGTCCTTTCTCTTCAAGGTACCGCCTGACCTCCGGAATGAAACACTTGTGGAACCAATCCAGAAATAATGCTGCTGTCACCCAAGCCTTTTTATTTGATTGCCAGAACACAGGCAGGAGATTTTTGTTCTTGCCTTTTAGGCCACGGGGATTTGCAGCTCTGTGAGCAAGCCCAGCTTTATTAAATGCCCAGCTGCATTGCCACAAAACAACACAGTCACATGGTCTTGTCCTTCTGATTTTGAAATGTAAGTGCAGTTGGGCATTTTTTTAAGGAGAGCCCAGTCTCGTCAGCATTAAAAACTTGTTCTGGAAGATAGCCCTTTTCTTCTATGATTTTCTTTAATTGTTTGGGGTAGGTTTTTGCTGCCTCTTCATTGGCAGATGCAGCTTCACCAGTAGTCTGCATGTTTTTGAAGTTGAAGCGGTTCCTAAAACTGTTAAGCCAACCTTGGCTGGCTCTGAATTCCTTCTCATCAGAAGGCTGTCCCTCTTTGGCGGGAGGTTTGAACAGTGCGTAAAGGCTAAGAGCCTTTTCTCGCAATATGTTGCCATCGATAGGCACACGTTTCCGGTTCATGTCTTCCAGCCATAAATTTAATGCCTTTTCAGTCTTCACTGAAGTCTTATCACGCACCTGGCTCATCACCTTAGCAGTTATTGGAGCGTTTGATGCAACGGCTTGACGAATTTCTCTTTCTCGAATCTTAATGGCACGGATGCTAGATTAGTTGCGGCCATATTTACGCGCCACGTTGGAGACCGACATACCATCTCCCAATAAGTCCAACACAGCCAGTTTTTCCTCCAGCGTTGGAACAGATCGCTGTTTCTTTGGTTGAGCAGCAGATGAAGTAGTTGGCTTGTGTTTATGGGCCATGTAAGAAAAATACGTATCTTTAAACACTAGAATCGCACTCAGTGCGGCGAGATGCTCACACTATGAGAGGCACGCAGGAACTGAAACCAACTGAGGGAACAGCAGATTCACGTCTCCCATCTCACACTCACTCCGGGGCATACGCTCATTGAGTGGAATGGTGGGCGAAATTGCCTGCACTATTTACAGGTCTCTTGTTGTTTTTCTTTTGCCAAGCGCGTATAGTTGAATTTGCAGAAGTTAAATGCACGTATGATGCAATTCACTTGTAGTAGCAGTACGTTTATAAAACAAGAATGAAAAATTAAACAGTCTGTTTACCTTTTAAACACTTTAAATCAGATATCCTGGTGCAGGAGTATGTCAGATTCGGATCCTTGGACACATATTTGAAAAAGAACAAAAATTCTATCAATATCTTGTGGAAATTGGAAGTTGCCAAACAGTTGGCATTGGCCATGCATTTTCTGGTAAGTCGATTTTTTTCTTTTTTTAGTTTGATAGTCAAATTCATATGCTTATGGTTTATTATCTATACATATTACACACACACACACCCCACTCTACATTAAAATAACATTATGCAGTCAAGCGCTCAAAAGTTAGGAAATGCCAGAATGAAGGCTGCCTGTTCAACCTAGTTCAGCCCCTTTGTGAGTATGCATGAAGATAGTCTTTAATTACATGATCACATACTGTTTTTTCCACAGGATCCATGCCTCATTCAGTTAACACAATGGACAATGTTCAGTTAATGAGAAGCTAATTCAATATTTTGTTTTCTCCTTATTGTTCAATGTGTGGACTTAAGCCTAATTTACTGCACACTATTCATATACAACTCTGAAGATAGCATTATTAATTTTGTCATGGGCTTTTTTGTAGCACTTATTGCAGAGGTAGGCAACCTGAGGCCCACGGGCTGTATGCGGCCCGTCAGGGTAATCCGCTGGCAGGCTGTGAGACAGTATTTACATTGACCATCCACAGGCACAGCTGCCCGCAGCTCCCAGTGGCCACAGTTCGCTGTTTCCGGCCAATGGGAGCTACGGGAAGCAGCAGCCAGCCCGCGCAGCTTCCCACAGCTCCCATTGGAAAGGCGAACCGCGGCCACTGGGAGCTGCAGGCAGCCATGCCTGTGGACAGTCAATGTAAACACTGTCTCATTGCTCGCAAGCGGATTACCCTGACAGGCCGTGTGCGCACCGCAGGTTGCCCACTACTGGCTTATTCGTATAGTATCTAAGTGCGTCACAAACGTTAATTAATTTATCCTCACAACATCCTTATCCCCATTTTATGGATGGGAAGCTGAGGCACAGAGAGATAAAGGTCAAAAGTGTTCACTAGGGCAGCATTCAACTGTCTTAACCACGAGACCCTCCCTTTATTTTCTGCAATCCCCTACCTCCTTCACTACACGCCTTCCAACTTCTGCAACAAATGGGGCAGAGGTCCTATGAAAAGCAGCCTCCTTTACTGTGAAGTCCTGATTCATGCCCAGAGCAGATGCATCCTATTCACTAAATGAAGCAGCGGTCCTGTGGGGAAAAAAGTATGTGATCATGTAATTAAAGACTATATCATAATGCATACAAATAAGGGAGCTGAATTAAGGTTGCACAGGCAGCCTTAATTCTGGTATTTCCTAACTTCTGAGTGTTTGACTTTGCAACCTTAATAATATTCTTCTAGCATAACCTTTTGTGTATGATTTCCTAGGTTTTTTTAAAAAAAGCAAACTGAAAAAACAGAAATTCCATCATATGGTTCATCAGTAGGACTGGACTCTTTAGATCCACCTGACAGACATCTAGCACTAGAGTTAATGGCATAACTGATACCTTTGTGTGAACCAGCACTAAAGGGAGATGAGACACTCACCTTGATAGTGGGTTTCACAGATATTTGCCAGCACCAGAAAACTGGTGAGACTCAGCTGTCTTGGGTTCCATTCCAGGCTCTGGAGGAGAGTCTGTTCTAGTGGGCACAGATTTTTGCACATTCCACCAAGCTGATTTCTTCTGCCCCATCCCCATTAATCTGTCCCTGTCCCTTCTATTTTTCACCCCTGGCTACTTGTGACAGTCCCAATCTCCTTGCCTTCCCAATCCATGGCCCTACTCCTCAGGCTTCTCATCCCTGTCCCTGTCTTCTTTTCCCCAGCCATCTCCTGCTCTAAGTTTTCTTTCAGAGTCAGAATCTCTCCTCCTCTCCACATGCAGTCCCAGGCTTCTTGCCCAACTAATCCGAGTTTCCCCCTCCAACTCCCAGTCCCGGTTTTTCTCCTCCAGTCCCAGTCTCACTAGACTCCTTGTCCCAATCTACTCCTTTCTCTCTTGCAATCCGGATGACTTCCCCCTCTGTGCTGCCTGGGTGCCAGCAGTGAGGGTCATTGAGGCATAGGAGAGACAGGCCCTGCTTTCAGTTCTAGCTCCCAGCCCCATCCTAGCCCCTTCACGGTTCAGAGTAGCAGTTACAGGGAAAGCCCTTCTGAGCCTTCATAGCCCTGAGCCGGAGCATGCTGAGCTAATCTGTGGGGATGATGCATGCACAGTTTAGTTGGCACTAGGAGCAGTGAGAGGCTCCAGCATGCTCGGTGAGGATGCAGTCGGTGGAGATTTTAGCTGTTAATGTTGAAGAAGTCTTTACTGCATGTGCAAACAGCGATTTTTTTCAAAGGCTTATAACTTGGGAAAATTTGGGTGGATTTTCATGAGGATGGCAAAAGTTACATCGCTGACACACATGCCACCCTGCCAAATTTCAAGTCCCAGCTCCAAAGCGCAGAGGCAGTATAGCGTTTCAGGTGAAATGTCTTAATTTTTTTAACATGGGCAAAGTAATGTATATTTTCTTATCCTTCTCAAAAACAACTGAACCATTTTGGCTGAAATTTTCCAAAAAAAATTGAGCCTGAGACACACATCGGGCATGAAAAATTTCATCCCTGACAGTTAAAGTTTCATAAAGTTATAAGCAACTGAGCATAGGTCCTTATAATAGGAAGTATTGGGCAACCTTAATAATGGACGGTGCTACCAGCCCTGCCTATAATTAAGGGCTGATCTGTGAGCAGCATTCCTACTGAAGTTAAAAGGGACTTGAAAGCAGAAGAGGGGACAGAATTAGTCCCATCTGAGGGTTAGCCACTTACAAGATTCTCGGCCAAATTCTGCTCTCAGACACACGCAGGTTGCTCCCATTTCAGTCAAGGATGTTAGTGTCAATGGTCTACGTTATTTTTCTCCTTCTTAATCTCTCCTCTTGTGTCCTACTATTCTTCTACTTTCTCTCTCCCTTCCTCTAAATCTTCTATCCGGACTATGTTCTTCACTTCTCTGTTACTCTGTTGGTGTCATTCCTTCTCTCATGCTGCTCCATAAGCAGCTCTTATTTTGTCCTGTTTTGTTTGCCAAGTGGTCCATTCTCTCCTCTTTTTGAAATCCCAACTTAAAAATAACTTCTTCCAGGAATCATGCCTACCATTCCTCCCCCGCCCTTCATCTCCCTATGCTCAATATAAATGACCTTCTAATAATGTTAATAGCTAACCACCAGTGAAAGCTACTGCCTTTTTTGAATTACTAATATACTTCAGGCCTTATTTGATATCTGCCTAGCTGTAGAACGTATATTAAAGCTATCCGAATTGGAAATCTAGATAGATAATGGATATAATTTAACCATTAGTTAAATTTTCTAGCCAGTTGGAGAGGAATTAGTGGTGTCATTTTATTTGTGCCTGCCATATGCGATCTGTTTAATTTCCTAGACTAACACTTTCTTTTAAATGCCTTCTGGTTTTTACCTGTTTATTTACATAAAAATGTATTTGTCTTTATCAGGAAGATAAAAGCCTGGTTCATGGGAATGTATGTGCAAAAAATATCTTGCTTATCAGAGAAGAAGATAGGAAGTCTGGAAACCTTCCATTTATCAAGCTTAGTGATCCTGGCATCAGCATGACAGTTTTGCCAAAAGACAGTAAGTCTTGGAGTCAACTGTCTGGGCTATTGTTTGTAACATTGAAAATATTTGTATTTTTATTCCTCCAACCTCTCATTGTACTGATTGTTTATTGTGATATAAGCTCCTCCAGCCTTTCTCCAGTCCCTAAAACACCATCCCAGACAGCAGTTAAAACTGCATCTTATCAACAAATGGCTATAGGAAACAGTCAAAATTTTCTGCTGGGTGGTTTTGTTTGGTTTTAAATAAGTCTGTACAAGAATACAAACCGGTTAAAATGGTACATTAGGAAGACTGGCATTTCAACACAGATTACTGTATGTTCTAAACAAAACATCTTTTCCAAAGGGATGTTTGACCATGCTGTAATGTGGCATGACTCAGTCTACTGTACTTGTGGCATACTGCTGGATTAGTAGTCACTGCAGGTCAGGATTCAAGTGCTTTATTATAGTAATGTGGAGAAGTTTAGAGAACATATGGAAAGCCCAGCATTTTCAAAAGTAACCAGGGATTTTCAGGTGCCCAATTTGAAACTGCAGGGACCTGATTTTCAAAACCATCCCCAACGCATCTCAGGCTGGGCACCTGAAATCACTGCACTCTTGAAAATGATGACCTATATATCTATAATATGCTGCTGTTCTGTCACTTTTACCAGCTGTGAAATGCTTTCAAATGGAGTAAAAATATTAGTAATAGGACAACATGCGCAAGTGGATGCATCTGATTATTGACTATTAGATGGATAGATAATGTATCCATTCTCATTGTTCTCCCCTTTTGTCTTTTTAAAGTGACACTGTCAGGTGACAATTCATATATTCTTAAACAGGTTTTCTTAGCCATGTTACAAATAACATCTTAGATTATTCAAATTGGAAGTATTTTTAAAATTTAAGGTACCAGTCTTCATTGATACTGTTTACTTTTTTGGGGGGGGTCTGGGGGGGCTATATTCAGCTTGGAAGATGAAAACAGACTAATTCATTTTGGCTTTAATCATATATTAATCATATATTTGGCTTTATAGTTTATATATGGTGGCAGGATGCTGCAACCTTCGGAATGCAAGCAGTGTAGTGTGATGGTGATGTTATCCAATAAACTTTCCACTGAATTTTTTAAAAGTTGCAACATTTCTTTTGATGGCAGTCTTTTGTGAACTTAATTTCAAAAATCCTAAATCTTGGGTCTAAACTGATCTGACAGTATCCTTTTAGCTTGTTCTCCGATCAGTTTTAGTTTTGATCAAATAATGAAGATTCAAACAGATGAATTCCGATGTGTGCACACTGCTGCTTGTTGCAGAGTCAGCATGTTGCGCCCCATCTGAAAACTGCTAAGCGTATGCCTCTGATTTTTCACCCTCTCAATCTTGTGTGGGAACTACTGTTCCTTGATAGTGGGAAAGGGCATTCATGTCAGAGCAACAACACGATGTAGAAATTCCTTAGATCTGGCTTCATGGGGCTATAAAGAGAAGACAGTCAATGAACTTTTAAAATTAGAAGCAATGATACTTCATCCTAGTTACAAGTTCATCATTTGTGCGTGTGTCATTTAGCATTTACTATTGAAGAACAGGAACTTGAGAAGAGTTGAAGTATTTCATTCTAAAAAAATAAGGGAATTGTAGAAATTCAAACTTTTACTAATTCTAATGTGTTTAAGTAGAATTTGGAGATAAAAGTAGACACTTCAGTATTATTTGTGACCTGTTGTGTTTTCATGATTACATAGTTCTTCTTGAAAGGATACCCTGGGTCCCACCTGAATGCATTGAAAATCCCAAACAGCTAAGCTTAGCAACAGACAAGTGGAGTTTTGGTACCACTTTATGGGAAATCTGCAGTGGGGGAGACAAGCCCCTTGGTGCACTGGATTCTCCCAGAGTAAGTATTGGCAAGTAGCGTTGTTTGTTACTGTACCTGTGAATACCATGTTTCTTTGTTGATTATACTTTCTAGTCACCCTTAAAATGCTTTTTAGTGCAGTATCACATTGGGTCTTGCAGAGAGTCCCAGCCCCAAATTATCCAATGCAGAAGCGTTTACAGATATAAAAATGTCTCCAAAAATAGAATACAACTTTAAAAATTTCCAGAATTATTGCTCCGTAATATTGCAGGTCTTTTCTGCAGGCATATTTAGTCCATCTCTCTTGAAAATCATCAGGAGAGTCCCCTAAACACAAAACCCAACCCTTTTTGGAGCTTTATACAAACTCACTTGTACCCATCACAGAAGCCTAATCCTGCCTGTGGCGGCTGCTGCTGTAATTTCCCAATAGTTCCCTCAATGAGCTCATTTAATAACACATTCCTAGCAGAGCCACTGGATAGACCTGGAAGGAGAAACGTCTGAGATACTAGCCCCCTCTGACTCATCCACACTCTCTCATAATCAGAATGAGGCTCTTACAGCTAGAGACAGAACTCAGCCAGCCCACAGGTGGGCAACACTTTCTTACTGTTCCATCCTAGTTAGGCTGCACAGAATCACCTGCGCAAAGAAAATAAATTGGTCTTTCTCGTTTAAACCAGAAATGGCTGTTCTGCCACAGATATCATGTTTGTCACAAAACTGCTGAGAATGCTGTTATATGCTAAAGCATCTTGTATATCTTTAATCCTAGAAGCTACAGTTTTATGAAGATAGGCACCAGCTTCCTGCTCCAAACTGGACAGAACTAGCAAATCTTATAAACAACTGTATGGATTATGAGCCAGATTTCAGACTTTCTTTCAGAGCCATTATACGTGATCTTAACAGCTTGTTCACGCCAGGTAAGCTCATGAAGGAAAGGGAATGGATTTTTGGTAGAAGATTGTGAACTCTTTGGGGCAGGAGCTGTTGTTTTTTTTCTGTGTCCACAGAATGCCTAGAATAATGGGATCCTGGTCCAAGGCACTACCAGAATATAAACAACAGAAATTATAATGAATATATTTTATTGTTTTCCAGTTTGCTATTAAAAGTGAATTTTACTGGGGGATCACCCAAAACATTTTCATTGTATTATAAATATTTATTTCAAATACATTGGCAAGATTGCACGCCTAGCTTCTTAGTGAAGCACATTATATCAATGATCCTTGTACTTTCTCCCAGGTGCTGGGATAAATACTGCTAAACTTGCTACTGTTCCTGCAGACTTACTCTCTGGTTACCAAATGCCCTTCTGATTTTTGAATGTTGTCCCCCCTAGAAAAGGGGCCATTGCACAGTAGGTGTTATAGTTAAACCAGCAAGGATTGGTTTGCAAAAATGCATGTTTGAAAATTCTTAAGAGAAGGGTCACTGTTAGTCAGCTGTCAAGACCAGTCTATCTTTTTTTTTTGGCCCAGCAGCATCCAGAGTGTCACTCCAATTTGCTGGTTTGTCATTCTTTATGGCAGCAACATAGTATCTAATATTTATTTAGGAAACTGAGTTCAATACACTGTTTATGTCTATCCAGAGCAAAATAGAATATTGAGAGGAGAGGGGAGCATGTCAGCAAAATGACAACATTTGCCCTTTCATCATTTTTTTGTATTTGCCCAGATTATGAGCTATTGACAGAAAATGACATGTTGCCAAACATGAGGATTGGTGCTCTTGGGTTTTCTGGGGCATTTGAAGACAGGGACCCAACGCAATTTGAAGAGAGACACCTTAAGTTCTTACAGCAACTTGGCAAGGTAGGAAGCTTTGAACTCTAATTGGCTGAAAGAAATAAGGTTACTTAGGTGTAACTGAGGTTCTTCGAGATGACTCTGCATGTTCTCATTAATGGGTGATTAGCCACTTGGAAGGAAGTTTTGAACTCTAAGGCCTGGTCTGCACTAAAAAATTAGGTCGGTTTAACTACGTCTGTCAGGCATGTGAAAAATCCACACCCTGAGCGGCGTTGTTAAGCTGACCTAAGTCCCCCTGTCGACAGCACTAGGTTGACGGAAGCGTTCTTCCATCAACCTAGCTACTGCCTCTTGGGAAGATGAATTACCAATGCTGCTGGGAAAACCCCTCCGGTTGGTGTAGATAGCATCTTCAAGGAAGCACTACAGCAGCGCAGCTGTGCTGCTGTAGTGTTTCAAGTGTGGACAAGCCCTAAGTGGCTGGAAGAACCCCACCTTTCAATTGCCTCCCGGTGATTTCTTATACATTATTTTCACTGCACCCTTGTGTTACTGGAATAGATTGTGTAAACACGGTTTCAGACAGATATAAGCACAATGCACATTCTGTCCTGATTTTGCCTGTCAGTCACTGTGTAGGATATCACTAAACAGGAGAGAACTCTGGGATGGAATCTCTGCACTGAATCTAGTGGCACTGAGCGGTTAAATGTTTCAGGAGTGCGTTACTAACACCAAGAGAGACCTATCTTTTTCCATTTTTATTTTCTGCTCTTAGATTCATTTAAAATTGCTCCTAAGCTCTTCGGCATGGTAACTGATTATTTTTTTGTATCTGAACTATCCTGAATATCCTCTTTCCCCTTCTTCCCACCTCCTCAACCTGCTTCCCAAACACATCTCCCCCTAATCCCACCTAAACTGTCCCCTGCGATACTTCCCCCCACCCCCACCCCCCGGCAGCCCGGTGTCCTGGTTTTTCACTTTGAAAATCTGGTCACTTTAATCCTGGTGCAGTCCTACACAGGTGATTAGGAAACGACTGTGACATGGGCTTTTTTAGTTTGCGTTTCTGTTTTGGTCTAGGGTAACTTTGGCAGTGTCGAGATGTGCCGGTATGACCCACTACAAGACAATACTGGAGAGGTAGTGGCTGTGAAAAAGCTACAGCACAGCACAGAAGAGCACCTACGAGATTTTGAAAGGGAAATTGAAATCCTTAAATCCCTGCAGCACGATAACATTGTTAAGTACAAGGGAGTGTGCTACAGTGCCGGTATGTAAAGCATTTAACATAGAATCATAGAACTGGAAGGGACATCAAGGGGTCATCTAGTCCAGTCCCCTGCACTCAAGGCAGGACTAAGTATTATCTAGACCATGCCTAACAGGTGTTTGTCCTTCCTTGCTCACACTGCTTATTAATCAATACAAAGCCAGAACTCCATTAAATGTTTTCATGTTGTTGGGATACATTTCCTGACTTTATCAGAGCTTTTATAGATGGCATAGCAAAAGAATCAGTGTCCATCATATTGTGCTTCATTATGCCAAATGGACACAATTTCATCTAGTTAATCTGTTGCAGTTATAGACGACTATTCTCTGATAACTTCTTTAAAAGTAAAAATTGTAACTATTTGCAACTAATCACACTGTAAAGTACAGACAAAAATCTGTGTAGAAAGTCATCAATAGTTCCATAAAAATGTTGGGGAACCTAAATATTTCTTCAGCTTTTTGTTTTTGACTCACTGCCGTGTCTCAGCAGAGTGAAACTCACCACTTCATGGACTTCCTTTATGAGAGGAGAATAGCCAGGGAGTGTGTTAGAAGCTTTAAAGTCATGGAGTGAAATCTTGGCTCTGTTGAAATCAGTGGGAGTTTTGCCATTCTCATCGGTAGCGTCAGGATTTCACCCTTGGGCTTTGCTTTAAAAAACCTTGTTTTCAAACCAAAATGAAGCTTTTTAAGCTGTTAACATTGCTGACCAACTTGACGGCAGCTACCATCTTCACCTGTGTAACGAGATGGAACTTTAAAAGACTAATTTCTGTTTTGTGTTGGGGGTGCTAGTTAAAGCATGAATCAGATATAACTTTGGACATACGAATAGTCTCTTGCTTCAGAAATAAGCATTTCCACTTCACCTTCACATGTATTTTAAGTAAATATTGTGGCTGGGACTCAGCGCTTAACTTGCAGCAGTAGCTGAGTGTAAATACACAAATTTGCATTTATGTTAATGTGGGTTTAAGTAGATAAATGCACATTGCTGGGCAGGCTAAAGGACAATTACTAAGCATTCACTGACACGGTATTTAATTAAAAATATGTTCAGTGATTAAAGAAAAGTTTAAATGCACTTCTGTGATTATGTCCTATTACAGTGCGATAACAATTTGATTTATTTTAGGTAAATGAAAATGTGGGAGAAGATTGCCTTTATAAATTCTGATTTCAGAGACAGCAGGACTAAATTGCTGCATAACTTCTCACTCCTTTCTCTAATCAAAACCAGGATTAGGTGGATTTTAGTAGATTTGCTCTCACTTGCTGCCTCATTGGAGTAATTTTTTTCCCCAGGGCCTACAGACTTTGAACATTTTTGTTGAGCTTGTCTGTGGCCTCTCATTCTACCCTGCAAAGGAGGTCTTTGTTCTCTTGAGAGAAACCGATTAGTAAACTTTTCCTAAAAGATGATGATAATATAATGATAGCCTGCTGTGCTCAGGAAGGAATCCCCTGCCCCCCCACCCCCACCCCACCACCACCACTACACAGCGCTGCATACTAGTGGGTAGGTGTATCATTAGTGTTGAGATTTGTTTATCTTCTTGTGAAGCAACAGATATTGCCTGATGCTGGAGCAAGGTAGTATACTTCATGAACAAATGAACTGAGCCAGTATGGCACTCTCAGTTTGTGAACCACAGAGGGCATTAATATTCATTCAGTGCTTCAGGTACAATATTTAACTCAATGTCCACCTGTGACAGTGAATTCAACGGGCTGAATCTGTGCTATATGAAGCAGTGTTTCATTTTAGTCTATGTGTTCTTGCCATTTATTTCACAACTGATATGGGACATAGTAAAACTGAGAGACTGATCAACTTTCATTATGCTCCTTCATTAGAAAATAGTTGGAGAAAAATTGTCTGCTGTGAAGCCTCTTTAAAAAGGCCTAAATCTGTTGCATTGTCAGTGTTTTGGGCTTAGCAGAATTTATTGTAGAATCTTGTGCTATTTAAGATGTACTCTAGATAAGGCACTTGAGTATTTCTGGTTAAAAATTGCAGGTAAACTAACAGAGAATTCTCCATCGGTCCTGTAACTGTTTCTTCAATTATGGAGTCATTAGTTTGCTCTAGGTTGGATGCATCTGTTTGTATATTTATTTACTTTACTAGAAAAGTATCCAGCTGTGAAAGTTTGAGGTTTGAGTGAGAGAGGATGTCTAGGTTTTCATAGAAGACAATGTGTACAAACACACCACACACAATCCATGTGTTTTGCTCAGTTCGTTGTGCATTCTTGTCACTTTGGCACTGCAAAATAAAACATTGATCACATTTTAGAAGTCCTTTCTCTACGACCTTCTCTACACTGGCAAAATACATGGTGTTTACTAATATGATTTTAAACATGTAGACAGGGACAAGTATGTGTTTAATATTGTGTTCATTAACATGATACTCTTTCCTATTGACTTCACCTCAGTTCTGCATGGATACAGTGGTATGCTCGTGCATTGTCCATTGCAAAATTGAAGCTTTATTTGCTGTGTGGCTGAGATCCCTGCGCATACCCATGTAACTGGATTGTCACTCCTACTTCTTTCTAGCTCTATGGGGTGTCTCACCCCATGGAGTGTCTTGCCCCATGTGCTGTTGGCGGCACTCTGTGTGTGACCTCCTGACTTTGTATTCCCTGCTGAGATGTGCCATAACTCCAGATTTCTCAGGATGCACTGATACAAACATGGCTGGGCATTGTGATAGTATGAACGTGCAAAGATGTCTGACACAAAACTGTGTTATGTTCTGCTCTGTGGACATAGTTCAACTTTGTGTTTATTGTAACTAGGTCAGAGGAGGAGGGTGTCATGACCTCGTTACAAAACCATGGTGGTATATGTAGTGCAGATGCGGCCAAGGTTAAAACTGCAAATCTATCCATCTTACTTCCATACAGAGTAAGAATGTGGTGTGACACAGGCTATGTAAGACTGTTCTAGTCACTCACTTATGTAAGGAAAGGAACTACACATGTTCTGATGGAGCAAGAATAGAAGAGCCTCCAGGGTGAAATATTTAAATATTTTCAGCACTGTTTGCTAGTAAATTTATTTGCAGACGTATATAATTATTTGTATTAAGAAATGACAAAAATAGAACCTTATATTTTGTATGTATTTAAAAAGGTCGTAGAAATCTGAGATTAATAATGGAATATTTACCGTATGGAAGTTTGCGAGACTATATCCAGAAACACAAGGAGAGGCTGGATCACAAGAAACTTCTGCAGTATACGTCTCAGATATGCAAGGTAAGGAAACCTTTTGGGGCTGTTTACAATGTACATTCCTGCCGTCCGTTAGCAATGCTTACCCCTAAAGAATGTTTATTGTTATATTGATTAGAAATGCCTGATTCAGCAAATGAATGTTTGTTTTCATTGTCAACACTGGTTTGTGAGTAGGGAGTAACTAGATGTCCTACTTCTCAAAGGGTGACCACCACATCTCTGAAAACTAATCACCTTTTTGCTTATTCTAAGCAAGTTGGTCAAATGTCCTCTTAGACATTGGTGTTATGTGCTTCTGACTGTGTGAAAGTAAAGCATTCTGTAGTACATGCCAGTATACTCTTTAGTTGATAAAGATGTGAGCAGCAACAGAGGCACTGAAGCTTGTCTGTTTCCTAACCTCAGACAGACAGCATGCCATCACTTCCACTTAATTTGTGTTTGAAGCCATAAGGATATCTTTGCAGCCATAAGGGCTAGAATTTTTTTTTAAAATAAAAGCTTAGATTAGATTTTCCAGAAGCTGATGACACCTAGGTATGGTTTCTATTCATCGTGGGCTAGCAGATTTTTCAAGATCTGGTTGTTCAACTATAATAGTACCATTACCACAACCTATAATAAAACAATCAAAGATTTTATATTTACACAGTGTTAGCCTTCTACTGGATGCTTTTTCACTAAAAGCAAAGAAGCATGTGCTGTGTTTTCCTGAGACCCAGGCACAGAAGCCCAGAATCCTGCTAGAAATGCCCAAAATTGCAATATTTGTGTTGCTTGCCTTGTTGCTTGGTATTGATGTAATATGAGTTTTGAAATCCTGAGAACCAAATAGGCATCCAACATTTTGGATGTCCTCATCTGGTCTCCTTCATGAGGCGGGTTATACATAATATAGCTTCCCTACCTATTGTGTTCAGCACAGGAGAAACTGTAGACATTTCAAATTTCACCAAATATCCAGGATTTTTGTAAAATTCTGACCTTTTCATTAAACATTTTAGAATTCCTTCTTAAAAAAACAAAAAACCCCAAAACCTTTTATTTTATTTTATTTTATTTTTGGCCAAAGGCTAAAACAAGTTAATCTTTTCAACATCTAAATGGAACAAAACCGTAAACTTGTATAAGAATTGTAGTGTATGTGAATGTTCCTATATATGCATCCAGATTCTTCTGTGACTAGTTTTTAGCTGTGAGTACTATGCCACCAGTTGTACTCCTGCAGATTTAGCTATGGTTAAATGTCAGTTTCACTTTTTTATTCTTACCTGCAGGATTTTGTTGTTGCTCTGAACTTTTCTGTTCAGTAACAGGAAGAGGCCTTAAGGTTGTTCAAAAGACTCTTTTAAGTCACTCCTTTTGAGAGGATTTTTTTGTAGTTGTTACTTTGTTTGGTAAATATATTCAGCTTTGAACTACTGAGACACTAAGTAGTTACTGTCTGAAATACTGTACCATGCTATGGCCATGAAATATGGGATGGGAGAAATCCTCATATCTTCCTCTTCATGAGCCCTCTTTCCCCCCTCTCTTCTTCTGCCTCTTTCTGTCTTTGAGTTTTTTGACATTTTAAAATCTCCCCTTATTTTTTTGCTCCACATTTCTTCCTATTGATTTTTTAAAGAAGACTTTTTAAAAGTCTTTCTTCCCCACGTCAGTGATTTAAATGTAAATTCCTCCCCCTTTTCTGATCTTTTCTCACATCAATATTTTAAGCCATGTTTCTTTGCTCCCCTGCCATCTCTTCTGTCACTCCCTTTTCTCCATCCCGTTATTTCCTAAGCCCCATGGCTTGTAGTTGACACTTTACAAGTCCTCTGCTATGAAAATCAGCACTCCCAGAGGCAGCTCTTCTTGTAACTAATGAGGATGCTTCTATAGGTGCCAGTTAGTGCATCAGGAGCTAGTTGTGTGGTGGCAAAGTGTAGGAATCTGTGTGCAGTTCTGCAAAGTGCTGCGAGGTACCGGAACAGGGAGGGGACTGGCCCTGGGTGAGTTTCCCGCCTCTGGATCCTGCTTTGGGAAGTTCTTGATACACTTTTGCTGTCTCCTGAACTAGCTTTGGAGCCATTTGTCGTTTTTTGAAGTCTGAATATTTTTCCTTTATACTTAAATTTAATTTAAACTCTTCAAGAGCCCAGATTGAGCAAGCAACAAATGATGTACACAGTAGCATTGCAGTCAAAACTGGCCTGTCAGGCCCTACAGAGCCCAGCTTTGAGCCCCTTGGATTTGGGGGCAACTAGAAATGTAAAGGAGAATCTTTGCTTTTTCTTTTTTTTTTTTTTTAAATTAAACTTCTAGCCAGTTCTCTTGCAGAGAGAACTTTGCAAATATAGCTGATATAAGACAATTATTAGGTTGAAAAGAACAAGCACTTGGGATCAAGGCTCCACTTCTGCAGCAGGAAGCTGGTGGGACCTATAGATTCACCCACACACATGCTTTTTATGTAAAATGAGTTAAACTTTGGAATGTATCTGAGAATTCTCTCTAACCCTTCCTCAGCTCTTAAAGGCAGCCCTTTGGCTCATGGGTATTATGGTCGTGGATGTTTCGGGGGTGGAGAGTGGTGGCACAAATTATTTTGAAGCCCTGGCCAGAATACAGAAGCTGGCTCTGACTAAAACATGTTGTTGAGATAGATGCCACAGAAATCTTACTTTACTGACTCTGTCTTCTAATTAGGAAAAAGATTGGAGCTAATCACTGTAGGCAAAGTTACTGTTCTGGGGTGAGATTTTGTACTTGCTGTTTTCATTTATGCATCTGTTCTTTTGGTCTAAAAGTGTATTCCATTAAGAGATCCAAGGAGTTATTTCATTTTTTGTAAACGTTGGTCTTGAGTTTTCAAAACTGCATCTCCTTGTCCTTTTCTGTTTATTTCCTGCTGAAATTTCAATGGATTTATATAATGCTGGATCTTGTCACCAATGACATATTTTTTTTCTAGATGCTTTCTGTCTTGAGGGAAGCTAAAAAATAGTGGAGACATTGGATTCAGGTTCCCTTTGGCAGAGTAATATACTGCCGCCCATGCTTTCCTCTCAATATGTGCATGACTCCCATTAAAATTAATGGAAATAAAAGGGACATACGGTTGGACAAATATATACCATGTGGTGTTACATGGCAAATAAATACTAGGCCCTTATGACAGCTCTGATTCAAATAAATCAATCTCTTGTGCATTTTATAAATTATAAACCATGGGGTTGTTTTCAGCTGAAAGCTTAGAGGTAGAGGAGGATAGCATTTCCATTTACAGTGTCTGAAACATAGGGAAATAGCTCCAAAGGTGGTATTCTGAAACCATACCAGTTTCCCAGTCCAGTGGCCCAACTGAGGAATCAGGACAGCCATGGAAGAAGCCTGGATTTGAGAGCGATGTCAGGTCTTGTGATGGAAACTAGGCATGTTATGGAAGGGGCATATATGGATTTTTAGGGCAAAAGTGCTGCTCTAACATTGTTAATGTGCCATCCACAGAGAGGCATTAAGAGCTTGCATCTGAGGGCATCAGGCCATCCTTCTGCCTGGCAGCAAAGTATTGACACACAATGGTGCCATCTAGTGGTATAAAGAAAATGAGGAAAAATCTGTTCAAAAAGATTGACAGAAGTCTGGGGCGCATAGGTGTAAATCTGGCCCTGGACCTGCTACCTCTGAGGTGCTCATCCTCAAAACATTATTCCTCTTGCACCATAGGTTTAGTTTTTTAGAGTCCTACCGTTAAGGCCAGAAGGGACCACCAGATCATCTAGTCTGACTTCCTGCATATCACACACCTCCAGCACCGCTCAGCACCCACATATTACACCCAACAACCAAGATTAGACAAAAGTATTACAGCCCACAGGAGTATTATGTGCCACAGGCAGAGAGGCCCCTGCAATGGCAAGGAAAAATTTTATGCCAAAAAGTTTGGTCAGCAGCCAAAATTTCGATGAACAACGCTTGCTGGTTTTTAGATGCATTGAAGGAAAGGAAAGGATTCTTGTGGAGTCATTGAACAGCTGGCTTGCTTAATGTTTCCAAACTGTTATACATTGGAATTGGTCAGCTTCTAAACCACGCTGTGCTGTGTCGACTCCTTCCCACCAGGTACAGCTGCCCAAACAGGATTTTCTCTTTAGTTACCATAAAAGACTATAGCTGGTTCCCATCCCATAGGCATAGTTTGACTTCTGTATTTTTTTGGGGGGCATTTTTAGTCAGGCCAATGGGGCTATGAGTGGAGGGGCAAATTATGCGTGTGTCTGAGGCTTGCAGTTGGGGTGGAGGGGCAATGCTCACCCATCCTCCCTCCGAACTATGCCCATGTTCCCCCCTCTCCTGTTTCAGCCGTGACAAAAGGAATAGTCACCATAGCCAAACTGCTTGCTCCTGTAGGATGTTTGACATCTGGGGAGCAGAAACAGCAGAAAGGAGGTCTTCTTCAATGCAGCGCTGGTCATAAGTTGTCCCTACTCAGAGTATGAGAGTGAATGTTTGTGAGGGTGAGTGCTGGTGGGGGCGCGAGGAAGATCACACAGGTTGTAGGGATCAAAAAGGATGATGAAATAGAGCTGGGTAGAGCAAGCAAAGGAGAGAAGGGGAAGCAAAGCCAAGATTGGCAGTCAAACAGGGCTGGCTTGGTTGGCACTTCGTGTTATGGTGCAAGAAACGTAACCTGGCTTTCATTCTCCCTGGGCTAATGGCTGCAGGTCTGCCAGCACAGCATGTTTGGCCTGGAGAGGGAGATACAGGAGTTGCCCTTCTCAGTAAGCTAGGAGTAATGTTGATGGGCTCAGAGGAGGGTCCAATCCAGCTCCCCTCGGCTAAGGAAGTTTACTGCACCTTGAAGCATTAAGAAGCTCTCTCCAAAAAAGATAGGCATTCAGACAAAAAAGGTTGCTATTATTCCTGTATTTGGTTTAAACTCTGAACCAAATTCACCACTGCCATAGACAAATAAGATTGCATTTAAGTTGATGAAATTACAGCCACTTATGCCAGTGCTAAATTTGGCCCTTTATCTCTATTGAATTTTAATAACAATTATTTAATTTGTGTATTATCTTTACACTTAGGGCATGGAGTATCTGGGCACAAAAAGATACATTCACCGGGATCTAGCAACGAGAAACATCTTAGTGGAGAATGAGAACAGAGTTAAAATTGGGGACTTTGGACTGACAAAAGTCCTGCCACAAGACAAAGAATACTACAAAGTAAAAGAGCCTGGAGAAAGCCCTATATTTTGGTGAGTTTCCATTTGCTTCATGAAACAAGACCGGGTGTTTGTAGTGCAGAGAGCTGGATTTTATTGCGCTGCAATATGCTAATATTTTTGCTTATTGTGGAGTCTAAAAGCCAAAGTCCATAGCTGTGGCTCCGCATAAAAAGTCACGTACATGATTTTAGTTACTGTATAGAAATCTGTAAATGTGGATGTTTTCAAGCTGCTCTCATGAAATTAATAATTATCTGTGTATTCCAGCTGTTTTTTTTTTAAATTCTCTAATATTATCAGCAAAGGTGCTGAAAGGTTGAGAAGTTTAAAGAAATGTGAAGAGTATTCTCCAAAGTAACCTGTCTCAGTGGACTCTCCCTCCTGGATTTGCACTTCTTGTATATAACCAGATAGAAGTTCTCACATGGCTTTAAAGTTTTCAGCCTTTGAGGTACCTGTAGGTTGATCATTCACATCTGCCTGCCTGATATCTTAGACAGCCTCTTGCATACCAAGGTCCATGTCTTCTGACCACATTCAGCAGAGTTTCTCCCTGGATGGTGAGAGAAGAAGGTAAAGTTCAGGTGAGGGATGAGTTTCCAGAGTAGGTCCAAATTATCCAGAGTCTTCAGGACACGCCGCAAAATCCTCCTCTTTGATAACACTTTTCTGTAATAAGCAGATGCTTAAAAAAAAAAAATCTAGAAGCAGTCTCTCCTTTTAACTAGGGAAGGGAAAAGAGAAGACTCTGTGTAGACATTACAATACTATGGAGCTGGGGACCATAGGAAATCCTAAAATAGATGCATGTTTATGTGAAAGAGCTTAATTTACTTGTATTCGGGAGCAGAGTGCATGCTATTTACATGAGCAGTACTTGTCCGCTTTAAGCACTCTAGAAATGTTATACTCTAAAGAAGAGAGTTGAGAATATAGTGTTCAACATACATAGATATTAGATTCTTGAGTACTGGGACAGGAGGGCTTATATGAGAACACAGTCAGTTGGCATGAGCCAAAGCACAATGTTGTTGATGGAAAGACACTCATTGACTTGAATGGGCTTTGGGTCAGGTTCTTCACACGAGAGGGTTTTTTGTATTGTTCATCATATTGTATAAGTAAGGCAGTTATGATAAACTGTTCTGAGTACACCGCTGTAGAAACAGAAATCAGGAAGATTTAAATATTTTTTTAAAAAGTAAAATAAAGTATAGATTCAAGTGATGGTAATGTAATAAAATGCAGAGGTATTCATGTCTGTAAACATGTAATAAGTAGATTTTCTTATGACATGTTTTAGGTTTATCAAATTAAGATGCCTTAATTCTAAAAATAAGAAAGGTGCAGAATAACGTCCCTTTTTCCCTTCCATATTAACTTTGCTGCTGATTCCCATGACTTTTTGATACAGGTATGCTCCAGAATCGCTGACCGAGAGCAAGTTTTCTGTGGCCTCTGACGTGTGGAGCTTTGGAGTGGTCCTGTATGAACTCTTCACATATATTGAAAAGAGCAAAAGCCCTCCAGCGGTCAGTGCATAGTTACAGGTTTCTGGAGTGCCTTCTCTCTTGATCTTAACTAAAGATTTAGACCGTACATAGATCTAAATCTATAGTTATTTACTGTTCCTTTTATGCTGAGAATTGGATTTTCGTAGCACAGCATACAGTTATAGGATGAATGATACGGAAAACCACTAGTACCAAGGCATAAAATGTTAATTAGGGGTAAAAAATTATCTGACATCTGTAAAAGCTGTAGCAATACTAGGGTTCATAACTGTATGAAACAGTTTTAAAATACTCAGATGTCAGACTTTCCCATACTAAAGCCTCAAGTATGACTGACACATCTTAATGCTGTTTGCAACTATTTCTAAGACCCTTCTTAGCTACAGCATTACACTGGGAGCTCATGTTCCATTGGTTGCCTACCATGACCCCTTAAATCCTTTTTCAGAGTCACTGCTTTCCATGATACAGTACCTCATCTTATAAATATGACCTGTATTCTTTGTTTCTAGATGGTATGACCTTATGTTTGGTTGTGTTTAAAATATATGGTGTTCACATGAGTCCACCTTACCAAGCAATCCAGGTTGGATGTATAACTGTCCCCATCATTATTTACCCATTCCCCAACTTTTGTGTCATCTACAAATTTTACCAGCAATAATTTTATATTTTCTTTCAATCATCAATAAAGAGATTAAATAGCAGTGGGCTGTGCACAGATCCCTATAGGAGCCCACCAAAAACTCCTCTCTTGGATTAGTTCCCCATTTACAATTAATTTTTGCAGTCTATCAGTTAACCAGCTTTTAATCCATTTATTTAGGCTACGTTGATTTTGTGTAGTGCTAATTTTTTGTCAGAACATCATGCGCAACTAAACCAGATGCCTTACAGAAGTTTGTCTGTTATGTCAACACATTTACCTTTAACAACCACGTGATTTAGTCAAAAAACTGTTAGATGTGTTTGACGAGACCTATTTTCTGTAAAACCATGTTGACTGTCATTAATTATGCTACTATCCTTTAAATTCTTTACTGATTATGTCCCATATGAGCCTTTCCATGATTTTGCTTGGGGTTGATGTCAAGCTAACTAGCCTATAATGACCTTAGTCATCCTGTTTTACCTTATTTAAATATCAGCATGACATTAACCATCTTCCAGTCCTCTGGAACTTCTCCGGTGTTCCAATATTTGTTAAAATATAACATTAATCCTTCAGAGAGATCCTCAGCCAAAACTCTTGGCTGCACACTGTCTTTAAATTTAAAAATGTTTAACTTTAAATAGTTGCTGTTTAATATCATCCCTAGTTACTGATGGAATAAAAAGTATTTCATTGTCACTCTAAGATATGAAAACATCATCCTGGTTCTTTCTGAATACAGAACAGAAATATTTATTGAATATTTCTGCCTTATCTGCATCATAATTACTACCCCTGTCTAGTTTCAGACTTAGTCCATTGCAATGACTTTACTTGTTCCTGATATATTTAAAGATTTCCTTCTTAGAATCCTTAACTCTATTGGTCATAGATTTTTTTTTAAAAAAAATCACTTCAAAGTGGTACAAAGTATAATTTGTTTTTACATGACTAAAAGTTGGCTTTGTGTTTCAGGAATTCATGCGCATGATTGGTAATGATAAACAAGGGCAGATGATTGTATTCCATTTGATAGAGCTTTTAAAGAACAATGGACGGCTGCCAAGACCAGATGGATGTCCTGATGAGGTATTACAGTTAATTTTTTTTGTCTTAATGTTGGATCAGCCAGCATGAATATATAGTAACTATAAGCTCTGTGTTCTGTTATGCATGGGTTATTGAAGCTACATCAGTTACTCAGAATGCATAGTCAAACACAGTAGAACATTGTGCCAGTATTTTATGGTAGTTATAAGACCAAGGAATTATCAAACATTCAGTCCTGCTTCTTAGTATGGCAATCCATCAATAACCTAGATGTAAAAATGTTGCTGAATATCTCTGGATCACCTGTGATCGATCACAATTGGTGCACCAGCAGACTTGAGTTCAGAACTGCAAATTTAATAAGGCGCTTGGGAGACTTAACAGTTCAGTCTATTAATGCATCTGGCTGGCATCTTGTAATAATAAAGGGAAAAACTATTAATGCAACCGTCAAACTGAAAAATTTAAATCTCAAAGTCAAGAAATGCAGAAGTTCTAGTGGTCATAAATGGTAACACATTAAGCTACCTATTGTAACCTGAAAAATAGGACTAGATAATACTACATATTATTAGCATCCTAGTTAAGATTTCAACAGTATCATTAAACTTTGCATTTCGTGACTCTTGTGACTTTAACTATACAACCTTATTATTAAAGTTATTTTGCATTTAATTTCCAGATTAAAAAAAAAAAAAAGCTTGTGTTTTGCCTGATCATTTCTCTTCCCACAGCAAATTTAGGAATGCACATGCTCGTTAGGGAGGAGTCTGGCCTAATTCTGCAAATATTTACGTACCTTCTTAACTCTAAATACATGAATAGTCCCATGGGGGAGTAGTCAGTGGAACTCTGTTCATGTACGTAAAGTTAAGAATGTGCATAATTCTTAGTGGGATTGAGCCTTGTATTGTAATTGTGTTGGATTTATACACACATTAAAAATAAATGTTCAGAAGTGGCTTCTGAATTTGTGCTTGTATTTTTGTGTGTATAACTAGTTGTTTTTGCATGTAAACCCCTTATCTGAGCACACAAACTCATCATGTATTTTGCCAGATGTCTTAGAAATATTCTTGTTATTTTAACTGCTTCTATTTTTGTAACCTTCAACTTCTTAAGCCAGGCTATCACAACTCAAACTGTTCAGGCCTCAAGGAAAGAAGAAGAAAAAAACCCATTACATTTTTAAAATTTTCTCCAACTTCTCAAAAATAATGTCAGCATTTCAATGTCAGATATCATATAACCTACCAAAGCTAGATGCAAGTGCTTTTTCACTGTAAGAAACTGTGAATCTCTCCCATTTAGGCCCCTAATGGATCACAGGCTATTAGGCCATAAACCTTTCCCTGGCCCAGAGCTTATTTTGTGGGCCTCAGACCAGTGTAATTTTGGAGTTAATTTCTCATTTTGTGCCTCTCATTTTGAAGAGAGTAAGAAACACTTTTCTGGCAGGTAGTGTTTGGGTTGGATGGTTTGTTTGTTTTTAAAGTTGGCATATGAAAGTTGGTAAGAGGCTTGGATACTAGGAATAGTCCTGGTGAAACTGGATTCATGGGCAAAGTACAGGTGAGAAAGTCAAAGATGCTCTGCAAGTTATCCTGTGGACGTCAAACCAAATATGTGGAGGTGGTCGTACATGTGCAATGGAAACTTCTTAGATCAAATTCATTTTTTTCCATAGAACAAATTCATTCTGTGTAGTGGTTCACTAAAACTAGAGTAGCAGTTTGCATATTGAGATGCACTGAGACATTTCAGACTCATTAAATTAACTATAAGTGAGTTCCAGTGTGTCTTTATGAACTGAACAGAATGTTTAAAGTTTTATAGTGCTGAGACAGGGCATAATCCAGAAATACTATATTTGTAAGACTGGTTTTTGGTCAGTCTTGTAAAGTAAACTTGGCACCTTTTTTAAAAAAAGAAAAAAAGGAATGTTTCTAAAAATATTAAACTCTCTTTTTAGAAATGGGTACAGGGTCTTCACTGCTTCAAGGATATACCCAACCTTTTCCCCCACAAACTCAGATCCCTGCTATTATAACCACCCCTCTGGTAGAGCAAAGCTAGATGCCATCACTCACTGCTTCACCTTATGTGAATCAGCGAAAGTGATGAGTGAAACATGAGCTGAGCGTTCAGTCTCTGCAGCACTGTGACCCCCTATTGCTCAGAAGCAAAAGACTAACTCAGATCCCCTTCCAGCAGCTACTACACTGACAGACCAGCTCAAAGTATTTAAAACTAGTTTCAGAGTAGCAGCCGTATTAGTCTGTATCCGCAAAAAGAAAAGGAGTACTTGTGGCACCTTAGAGACTAATAAATTTATTTGAGCATTAGCTTTCAACTAGTTGAAGTTTCTATGTATGTAATACTAATTCTTTGAGTAGTATCCCTTTGGGTGCTCCACTTCAGGTGCACATGTATCCCATGTACCTTTGATCGGAGATTGTCATTAGCAGTGTCCGTTTGGCTCACACATGCGCTGCTGGTATCCTTATGCCCCACACCGAAGCTCTATCAGGCTGCATAGGCGAACCATCCTTCTCAAACGCCTCTGTCTGAGATGGAGCTTAAGTATTGCGAGTGTCTCAGCTGGTTGCTGAGTTCATTCTCCTTAGTTTAGTTCAGTTAGGGTTGTTTTTTTTTAAGTAGTAGTAGTTAATTACTAGTTATTGAAATATTGTTTTAATTCCTCTGGAGAAATCCTCCCTGTGAGGGGGGGTGTCCAGCTCACTGAGGTTTAAATGTTGCCTCACATGTAGAGAGGCTATCCCTGTCAGCAGTGGACCCGCTAAGTACGTTTGCTGTCTGGGAGAGTCACACGTCCCACAGAAGTGTCACTGCTATTTAGCCCTCAAGTCCGAGGCACAGAAGAACAGGGAAATCAAGCTCCATCTTAATGATGGAGTGCTCCTTTCACCCTGTTTGGAGCCAGGTCAGAGAACTCCCCTGTACATCACTCCCCAGGGGTCTCTGGTGCCCCTGTGACCTTGACGTAACACTATCCTAGAAAGGGGAAAGCCTCAGAGACCTCCTCTAAAGGTCCTAAGAAGAGGACTTCTAAATCCCTTCTTAAGGTACCACCTCAAAAAGGCCTCGCTTTCCGACCAGGTCATCAGCCTCAAAGAGTTCGTCCTCAAGGCTCGGTACCATAGAGGCTCCAGCACCAGCAAGGCGGGAAAATCTTACAGTTCTAAGAGTACACATGGCTCCAAGAAGGCTCCAGAACATCTAGTGGAGATGGTCAGAGCAAACACAGAAGCTCAGTACCATTGGACTTAACCTCCTTCACTATTCTTATTGAGCTCTTTGGTACCGTATAAGACTAAGCCTCCATCTACATGAGCACCGCCTGTTAAGTGCTCAGAACCAGCAGTACAGTCCTGCAGAGACAAGCTTACCGATACATCGGTGCTGCAGCTCCACTCAGCGCTGCAGCTCCACTCGGTGCCGCAAGATTTTAAGTGTCTGAAGGATATATTGGTGACTGCTGAACCAGTGACTCCATTGCTAGCAGGTACTACCGAGTATCTCCCAGTTCTGAGAACCTCTCGGTCTCCAGCCCTTGTATGTCCCTGGAACTGTCACCTCCCTTTTCTGTCAGAGCTCCCTCTTTAGAAGAAGAGGACGATGATGGAGACCTCCCTTCAGTGTCATCAACCTCTGTTCAGGTTCTCCCGTGTACCCATATACAAACCCCCTTTCTCAAAGAGAAGGGGGAACTCATAACTCCTGGTGGGAGCAGCCCTGGATTTCACCCCCTCCTGCACATGGTCCTCAATGGTCATATTGGGATCCCTGGACAGCTTATTATCTGCAGTTCTCCAGGGCCCCAACTCTCTTGCATCAACTTTCTCCTCCTCAGCAAAAGGAATAAGATGTTCACGGATCAAGAGACTAGGGTGGATAAAGAAGCAACCCCTCAGAGTACCACTTCATCATCTTCACCAGGTGAGGCAGTAATGCTTCCTCCTCCATCTCTGGCTGATGATTTTTGGCAGTTTCAGGTCCTCATTAAATGGGTGACAGACTGCCTACAAATACCTCTTGAGGAGGTCAGAGAATCCCAACACAAGTGGTTGGATATTCTTCATTCTGCAATGCCATCCAGAGTTGCCCTTCCTATCAACAAGGCACTGGTGGAACCTCTGAAAACTATTTGGCAGACCCCCGCTACAGTAAAACCCATGCATAAGAGAGCCAGTAAAAAGTATTATGTTCCCACCAAGGATTCTTGAGTTCCTATTTTTTCACTCTCTAGAGGTTGATGGGGTAAACAAAAGGGAAAAACAACATCATTATAATCTACCCTATATGACAGAGACCAGAAGCTTCTGGACCTTCTGGGGAGAAAATTGTATTCATCAGCAACTCTACAATTCCACATTGCAAATTACCAGTCACTGATGGCCAAATACAACTTTACAAATTATGCAAAATTTTGCTCCTTTATTCAGTACCTTCCTGCAGACCAAAGGGAACAATTTCAGGCTACCACTGCTGACACAGTTAGTGACCAGGATATCTCTTCAGGCAGCTCTTGATGGTGCAGTTACTGAGGCCAATTCCATCTCTACAGAGTGGTGATGCACAGGGCATCCTGGCTAAAGTAGTTTCCCCTGGTTTCCCCAGAGAAGTCCAGAATGTGGTAAAGGATCTCTCATTTGATGGTCTGAAGTTGTTTGCGGAGAATACCAATGAGTCATTGAATACTCTTAAAGACTCCAGGGATGCATTACATTTCTTAGGCTCCTGCAAACAAAAGACAATTAAGTAGCTCTCACACAGCCAAAATCCTGCCCATTGCAATTCTCTGGTTTTCAGAGACTGATGGAGTCTCCTAAAAAGAGACATAGGATCAAGAGAAAAAGATCCTTTAACCTACCTGAGCAGGCTTCATCTCTGAAGTGTCAGTTTTAACCAGGTGATCCTGGATTTGGACTCTCTCCTCTCTTTCTGTCAGCTGTAACAATTAGCCCACTTCCCTCCATTTGGGAAACGACTTTCCCATTTCTGACAAGCATGGGAGC